GAAAACGAAATACGCTTTATGGTCAGTATTAAATTAAAGTCATACTTAAATGTTATTACTTTAATAAAAAATTAAGATAATATGACTAGAAAACATTATAAGTTATAGTAATTACAACTTGTTCATCTACAAACAATCAATTAGCACTTCCCTTTGTTTACCCAAGATAATTTTGAATAGTTATAATTATTACATTTAATTCATATTAACCTCCATGTTAACTACTCCCCTTCAAAGAGCATCAACAAGAAGAAGTTCTTGTAACGAAGATGGGTTGCGAAGAGTAACTTGCGGGCTTTTTCACTCGTGTTAGAACACCAACTCGCAACACGGGGGCAAAAAAGAACAGAAGTTGCCACTGGGAAGTAAATTCCATGTTATTATTTACCAGCCAACGGAGGAATGTTCAAACAACATTCAATCAGAAATCGGCAAGAACAAGGCGGAGCAGATACCGCCGATACACGCTTACAGATCGAGATAATAAATTCACTGCCACTCTGGGCTCGCAATTTATAGGGTTCGGATTGCCCTAAAAAGCAGATACATCTACTTATTTAAGTTCTTAGCCACTGCCACTTGCACACAGTTTTCTTCTGGCCAAAGCGCCCAGTTGTGTGCTCCGCTTTTTGTTTGGCTCCTGGGAGAAGCAGTAAATATGAAAGCAGAAAGCAAGAAACTTTATTTGGGTTAGCGATTGTTTAAAAATGCATAAGGATGTGAAACTTGGAGTAGCTGAAAGGAAACAGAAGCCCGCAGGAGTTTGGCCGGAGGAGCTACAAAAGCCCGAAGGAGAATGGAGGGATTTGCAGAAGCTCAAACAGAAAATGGAGCTAACACAGAAAAAAATATTCATTTTAACTTACAATATGCAATATTATTTGGTTTTCTACTGCTTGTTCTTGAGTTACATTTTTTCCAGTGCACAAATTGCAATCCAAGATGCCGTTAAACATATACACTCTAGATCTTTGCCACAAAATAGGAAAATCAAAGAAGCCAGCTGGGAGAGCGCCAGAAAAAGCGGAAATAAAGGAGCCGACACACTTGCAATTTCAGTCGAGTTAATCTCAACAGGTGTAAGGATTTTGGCACATAAACTTTTCTCCAATAAAGTTGAACTGATTTAAATTTAATATGCAAATCAAGCGATGGCTTTGGGCTATTTAAAACAGGCGAACCGCTCATCCACCCACTCACTTGGCATTCACCGGCAAACTTTTTAAATTAAAAAATTATGGATGGCAAAGTAATGGCTTTCTCGGTCAGGGGAAAAAAAGAAAGAAAAGTATACAGACGGCAGGTGGGTGCAGTTTTGCAATCAAGATGAGTGGGCGAAAGTGGTTCAAGTGGTTTTGTGATTGCGCGAATGTAAATGCAATTTCATTAAATTGAATATTTATCGGTTGTCATTGAGCAAATTGCTGGTGAATTGAGGTTTATCCTAATATTTCCACACCGCTAATGGTAATGGTTGCAGTTATGCCGCCAAGGTAATGGAAAGAAATCATCATTAGCGCAGCTCAGGGTTGTAAACATTGTATTCTACATTTTATGAAATTGACTTTTATAGACAAATTGTCCGCTATTTTTGTAACTTTAAGAATAATGTTCACTGAGAAGAACCGCTCGAACAGGTTTCCAGGGAACTCGCCGCACAGAAGCCGTTTGATGAGCATAAATCTTGATATCGGAACATTATTAACGTCAGTTAATTCTAACTGTTCGAAGAGAAGGCCATCCATTAAGTGCCGGGGCTAGAAGGTGGATTCCAGGGGGCCGAGAACTCACCTGGGATGGATGGTTGGATGGATGGCTGGCATTTCTCCGGACTCCGGAGACCCTCAACCAGTTTTCCTGTTCCCCCGCTTTTCTGTAATCGATACTGGAACTGGCTCTTCTTCGGTCTGTTGTATTTGTATTTTTAGTATTTTCCTGCTGGTGGCCCGCTGTTTTCCCTCTTTTCCACGTTGTCTCGCCTCACGATTTCCCAAATCCGATTATTATCAAGTCTCACGTGAGTGCACGCTTTGTTGCTGCTTATTTTTATTTTTACCTCTGCTCGTCGCGTATTGTGCTTTTTACAGTTGCCTTCTGCTTCCTTGGAAAATTGCTTTGAACTTGAAAATTTCCCACGTGACGCGGCGAGAATCAATCTCTGCTTCTGGCTTTTCTTTTGCCCTCTGTTCGTGTCACATGTGCAATGACACCCCTTGCGAATTTCCCCCTGAGTTTTCCTCGGCACGAAAAGCAGCTGCACTTTGCATGTCATTCTGCTAACGGTGTCGTCTTTCCTCGATTTTCCTCCTTTTGTTTCTTGGCTTGAAGCTTGCATTGTTTTGGATCTTTTTGTGGCAAGTGCCGATTGGATTTAATTGGATAGTTTTTTCGTGCATTCCATATCTTTCAATGGGGCTAAAAGGCAAATTGTGGATTCCCATATTCGTGGGTAATTTCTTTTATTGGTTTGTAATTTTTGTGGGAATTTTATTTGACTCGAATTCGAAGCTAAATGTTATTGCTTAAAGCAAACTTTATAACATCGCTCAAACTTTCTTCTTTAAAAAGCATTCTTCCATTGTCAAGTTCCGCAGTTAAATCACAAGTCAACACGATCTAAGTTTTGTTCCTTGCGGATTTTGTTCTAACTCTAGCCACAATTCGAATAGTTTGTTTGCAGAAAAAAATATACAGTTGAAGTGGCAGCATTCCGGAATTTCCATTAGCTTCTGTCGCTGCCACTTTCAATACAACAAGTTCGTGCCATTTCGCAGATCTTGGCGAGCGTTTAAGCCAATCCATTGCGGATTTTAGTGTGAGTCAGTAAAGAAAAAAACCTAGGCAAAGTGAATTTCTTGGTGTTCTGCCCTTTTTTTTTTTTTTTTTTGCTGAAAACCCAGCTACAGTAAAGACTCTGGCTGCAGATGGCACTTACTTTACGAGCACGTTCCAACCATAGGGGAAGTGCAGAGTTCGCGAGTCGTAAACTAGGTTTTTTAACGATTGCGGCTCAGAACGAGACTTGGCCAAGACCGGTGGCAATTAAAAAGAAGTTAGCACTTGGCCCGAGGAAAGGGCGACAGTTCGTGGATGTCAAGTTCAGGGTTACTCCAAGGGCCCGGGAATTACCTGTCAGAGTCCAAAGACAAAGTGAGTAATTAATTTGCAAGCGTCTTAATCCATCAAATCCCCTTCTGTATTTCCCCTTGAAGAGTTCATGAGAAGTTGGGTTGGGCTGTGGGAGAATTTTTCATTTGATTTAATGCGTTTTTTACGGCTCGCTCTCATAGGATTGAGTTCTTTTGCAAACGGTTCAATGGTATCAGGCTAATTAATGGCCAATTAAACCTCGATTTAATAGGGATTCTTGGCTTCTTATTTAATTTAAATCTGTTAAACGAAGGTTTTAGATAACCCCATTTAATTCTCGGTATTTCAGTGAGCATGTTTACTTAGTGGTTGTTAAAATCATTTAAAAGGTTTTATTCCACTACTAATTTTCTGTTTTTGAAGTAATTTATTGACTTCGTTTTATCACGCAACTCTAAATGCTGGGTATTATAGTAAACACAAAATGTTCCCCTTCCATCGCCAAAGCCATTTATAAAGCTGCTTCTCTGCATCATCCTCATCATAAGCCTACTGTGCTGTCATATGGTTTTTGATGATGATGATGAAACCTAAGAGGCTTAGTTTGTATAAAACCCCAAATGCAAAAGGCTGCCAACTCTCGACTCCCATATGGCTGCGTAATCAAATGCATGTAATTTGAGTTTAATGAGTGTCAAAGTTATTAAAAATCATTTGCTCCGACCAGTTATGGTGGCTTTTCTGCCAACGGCTTTGGCTTTCGGCCAGTCAGCGGGCCAAGTTTTCGCTCCATGAAAGGCAGCAGCTAGCGCAAATGTTACAAAATCGTTTCGAGACATTTTTGGGTTCGTCATCGGGCTTAATTACTGCCCAAACCCATTCTGCCGCCAACGATTCTGGGTAAATGAAATGTGTCAATAAATTTAAATGGCGGCATTCGGGCCGAGACCGAAATTGAGTTATTAAAGGCAGACCGCCAAAACGAAGTGAGATTTTTTAACAAAGTTGTTTTGGTGTCAAAGACAGCAGCAGCGACAGTAACAATAACAAACAATGATTACTGGCGACAGTGTCTGCAGTAAGTTGTGCGACCAGTTTGCCGATACTCTACGGAAAACCACTTGAAAATTCTTGGAAAGCTGATTGTTTATATAACTTAATATAAGCTGGAATTTATTTGTGCCGTTTTGTTTATTTAAGGCAGGCCAGCGTTTCCAACGAAATTAGGCGGATTTGTTATGGCTATCAAAGTATGAAATTGTAGATTTTTTCTGCCATACTCAGTTAATGCCAAACTGACTAATAAATTTGAAAATCACAATTGATACGCAAGTGTAAGCCAAGTGACTTTTGGTTAATTTGCCCACTAGCCAGCTTCGATTGCTGGCCACGTTGGCCTGGGCTGGAAATTGGCAAATGTAGTTTTTATGCTCTATGTCGTGGGCGTTCCACACCCACAATCCTGGCACTTTCCTCTACTCCCACCCCCTGAAAGCCACTCTGATATTGATTTGATTGTGTGCGTCTGCTGCTCTCGGCTGCTTACATGGCGTATGATTGATGGGCCTGCGGGCACGAAGGAGCAGAAAACGAGGAAGGAGTCCCCGCCAGATGTAAAAAATGGAAGTATCCCTGCCAGAGCTGCTGCTGTTGGCTGGAGATATAAATTGCATTTATTGGTAAAATTGACAGAAAAAATATTTGCACGTTAAATAGAAATTAATCAAGAAAAGAGAAGTCGAGGCAGGCAGGAAAAACAATCACAATCATGATTGTAATAGGGAGCGAAGAAAAAAATGGAATCATCATATAATACACATCACATAACAACGTTGCGAATACAACGGATCTCAGTGTACATTTAATGTAAATGAATCCCTCTAATAACCCTTTTAATTATCTCATTACAGGTCTCCCACATGTCGGGCCCTACAGTTTGAGCTGCACTGGGTTCTAGCCACCGCGAGAGCAGACGGAAAGGGGTAAGTTGAGCGACTCGTGTTACTTATGGCTAAACGCAAGACCCATAACTTTTTCGCATTAAGTGTATATATCTTATATCTGAGAGTCGTTACTTTTTTATGGTCGTGTTTCCATGTGTCCATCTGTATACTTGTCGGTTGTCATTTGTTGTTTTGGCTCTGAGTTTTGCACTGCATTCGGAAACCGGTCGAATTGGTTTTGTGGCGATCGCAGCATTTGCATAAAGTTTTGTTCTGTTTTTATCTTGACTCGGCGTGTCTGTGTGATTTCTCCCCGACCGCCAGATTTAAATTTATTTTCATTGATTGCACATATACAACTTTTGACTTAATGGCTCTGTGACGTAATTCTGGCTGCTGAAATTAGCAAAATAGTAGTAATACCTACCTATATATTTCTTCGGACGCTTGCAGGATTTTCAGTAAATTGTGAAATGCTGCGATTTAATTAATCGATCTGTGAGTTTGGTTAATTTGCTGTTCGCATTGCAATTTGTTATAAACACGCCGCAAGGCGTTGAAATTGATTTTAGCGAGTGGGTAGTTGTAAGTGAACACCTGCTTTACACACGTCAATTCAATTCGATTTTTAAACCACATGACGTAGTTTTATGTTTTAAAATGGCCTAGAGCGGCTAAAAATGTTTCCTTATTTAAGTAAAACTTTCACATAGTTCAATTGATAAAGCCACTCTGCAGTTCTTGAATTGATCTACGAAGTTTTGCCAAAAACAAACTCCAAACTATAATCAAACTCATTTTCTTCGAATAAATGCCAAAATGTCAATGCTTCATTTCGTTCAATCGACATTCGTTGCTCTTCTGTGCGATTCCCTCGAGGTTTATCTGATTCTGGACCAACTTCTGTTTCTTATTTCTGGTTTTGAACAGGAAGTCGATGGTCGGCCACCTAGGTAAGTGGGTTCTGTGGTTTTTGGGTGGTTCGGTTGGGCTTCAGCTGATTCAAAGGTAATTTGTTGCCGGTCCGTGGGCCTAGACAAAGAACTGATTGCCGGTCTTGACTGACAGCCGGGGCAGCAAAGGGTTAAGGCAGTGGCCACTGGCCACACACACTCACCCTACACTCGAGTCCCGACTAATTCTACCATTGTATTAGCCAATTGTGGTGGCTCTTCCTCGTCCGTTTCCCCAATTTCTCTCTCCTTGCGATTTTTATTTCAGTTTCAGTTTGTTTGGCCAGCATAATGATGCCACTTGATTGAAAATGAACGTGACTGGAAAACAAGTTTCGGGGTTAAAGTTTTCTTGTTTTGCTTTTCTCTCGCCGCAGCCAGCTTCGCTGCTCTGCGGTCTTCTCTACCGATTCTCCTGTTCGAATAAAAACGGAAAATAGCAAAATAAATTAGCCAGGAGATGCTCTCAGCCATGAACTTCTGTGACATGTTTTGCTGCCTCAGCTTTATTTACCGACGAGGAGTCAGGCGAAATTGCATTTAGTACTATTTAATTAAAGTTTGCTCGGCGCTTGCCGGTCCGCCAACGTCTTTTTCTTCGTTCGGATGCGGTCTGGGCGCCATTTTGTTGCATGTTTCCTAACGGAATTATGTGCGCATTTCCGTTTCCGGCACACGCAACAATGCACCGAGAGACGTCCGCGTGGAAAATGGCGTCTTCGATTTAGCAGCGGTACAGTGGGCACCAATCCTAATAAATTTGCTAAATTGGATTTATAAAACTGTTTTAAGGATCATATCTATTTATTCATATTTGAATTAATTTCTAAGGATATCGTTCAGTTAGAAATGTTTCTGTTCTACTCATTTTAAATAAGTCATATAAATCATCCCATTGCAAATCGATTTGTTTTGTAAACCTCTTTGTTTAAGGCCACTATTTATTTCTCATCGAAAACCGCCATCAACGATTGCTTTCTCCTAATGGACTACCCAATCGTTTTTCCCATTAAAACCAATTTATTCCACTGTCCACAGCGCTGGCTGGTGGAAGAATAATAGTTTACCATTATTAAGTTTCGTGCGGGCGGATTTTGCATTCGTTTTGTTGATGCCGCCGTGGTTGTTGCTTCTGATTTTGCTGCAGTTTGCTGCTGCCGTTGCCAAGCAAATTATTTACAGCATCCACAGCAGAGTGTGCCACAGTAAGTGGCTACGCAAGGACCTCTTCCCCCTGGCTTCCCCTCTTCGTCCCCCAATCCATCCAGAAATCCCCACAAGATTGAGCAGCAGCCATTGCAATGACAAAAGTAATTTGCCTTTAAAGCTGCACCAACTGCAGCATCGGGCGAAGGCAATTTAAATATGCATGGGCCATTATGCATAGGCGATGGTGTTTCTCCATTCTCGCAGATATTAGTACACAGAAGAAAAATTAAAATATGGAAATAATCTTGATTAGAAGAGCTTCTTTAAAAAGTCCATTTTATTTTAAGGGAAAACTGCTTATTACTTTCTTTCAATATTAAGTACTTTATTTGAGTCAGTCAATGTTTAAATGGGCAAAGCTGATTGTATTTTCGCAGTGTACCCATACTTATTGGTGTGTGCCACATGCAACTTCAGTCGCATTTAGTTGCGCATTCGAGTAAACCCAATGGGGCTCTCCACTGACCCACTAAAGCCGCCCGTTCGGTTCACGTACTCCAGGGACCCGATGCTGTAACTAATTCCGAGCAGAGCCCATTCGATGTGGCATATTTAAAACTTAATTTACATGGCTGTCCTCTGCCCGCTTAAACCCTAACCTTTAGCCCGACTCGGTTGCTCAGTTGCTCAGTTGCTCGTGCTGACCCCTTCTCTTTCTGGCTTAAACTCGGCTCGAAGCGCGGCACTGTGTCGTTTTCAGTTTGTCACACTTTTGCCCAAATAAAATTTCATCGCCTGTCATAAAGCCTTGAGAGGCAAGTGTCACAAACACTTAACTCAAGGAGGTGCATGCGGCGAAGGGGTGGTGCCGACAGTGGGAGAGAGACAGCACTACTGTGAGGTAAGAAGTGAAGGAGACAGCACTCGAAACTGCTCAAGTGGGCCAGCCCGAAAAAGTACAAAATGTGCCAAAGAAAATTCGTCATGTGCCGAAAGTTGGGGAAAGAGAGTTTGTAATGAAAAAAATATTTTTCTAAGGGCTGACATATTTGCTATTATTGAACGAATTTTAAATTGAGAAAAATGTTCATTAAAGCTTATCTTCAAACCTGAAATAGAGACACATGACAATTGAATGGCGCATTGGCGCAGTTGCTGCCAAAAATAGTAAACTATCTTTTCTTGGACGGCTTTTCCTTTCATCTTTCTGCCATAAAAAAGCCTCATCAACACCTCGACTGTCTTCATTTATCCCTTATCTCCAAAACAGCTAGCTACAAAACCAATTAATGTTTACCCCACCCAATAAATATGCTTGCCGCTGTCAACAATTGATTCCGCCATAAAAAGAAACCATAAAGTGGCTCTACCCCAATAGATAGCATGCACCTTGTGCAATAAATGTTTTCTCAGAGGAGTCGAGCGAAAAAGTTCGGTATTAGCTGGCGTGTCCAGAACCGCTCAAAACAAAATAACTGTCAGGGCTAAGACAATAGAAGGGACAGACAGGCCAGACATCCCCAGAAAAAAAAGAGGGTGGGTAATGGCGATCGAAAGAGGGGAGCACCAAAAGTTGTCGGCGTGACAGCCGCAAGACAGCTGTCTGTCCGAAAAAAATCCACATTTACGAGGGGTAGCAAAAAAAAAAGAAAGAGAAGCGAAAACATAAATTTTGATTTACTTGAATGACAGTTGCCTCCCGAATTTCACACGCACCCCACAATCGTCAAAGGTCGGGCACAATTTTCCTATTAGTTCAAGTGAAAAATCGCTGCAAATCGGTGAATTGTGAGGATGGGGCAGAATTTACTGACCAGTAAATCAGGCAGACCTTCCATATGCCGCAGAGCATAATTCATGGCAGAGCAGAGCAGGGAGTATTTCAAAGGCCCATAATGGGCCAAAGTATGGACCACCAGTAACTTTTCCAATTAAAAGCGAAATAAACTTCTGCCTCCGGAACTCGCTCACTGAAATTTCAATTAAAATCATGACTGGCTAAGCTGGAATAGCCAATAAAAAGGCCATCGAATGGTATTACCGATTTACCTGCCCGCACTTCTCCGTCTTGTCTCCAAATTGAGTTGAACGACTTTGGCGCGACCACGTGGCGTATACGCAATTATCGCAAATCGTTTTCAATTAAAGCGCCAAGCAAAAGGCAAGAAATCTTGGCAAACGCCACTTTCGGCTTATCACCCATTTCTGGCCTCTTCCACTATCACCATTAATACCCAATGCCTCGGCCACCTTCGCTTATCACAAAACAGAAGTCTGGCGACGACACTTTACTCGAGGTTTTCGCCTTTTATTTTCGCTCCGTGGCTTTTCGTCTCTGTTGATAATTTCACTCGAGCAGCTTGAGGGTTTGTAGGTTTGATTGACAGCCGAGTGGTGGCCAAGGTAAACGGGCCTTTTGTCTTCGCGAGTCACTTGTTTAAACGCGCTTTTCATTTCTCGTATTTACTTTTATTGATATGCGCATTTGTGCTTTTAATTTATGTATTTCGGTGGAGTTTTTTGACCGTGACACATTTTTGTGTTTATTTCCGAGCGTGGCGTAGAAAATGGGGGCAGTGAACCAGGGAAAAGTGGAGCTAAATTTAATTTGTTTCACTTTTCAGGGGGAGCTTCCCGAAATCAGTGGTAATTATACCTTCGTTGTAAGATAGTCCAAATAGCTGATAAGCTTATCTACAATCACTTAATATTTTTTGACATAGTAATATATAATTATATAATATTAGGTAATATTATATTATATTAGAATTAAAAGATTTTATCATCTAGACAAACACTCTAAAAGACTTGCTGTTACTTAAATCTAACGATGAAAGCCCTTTCATCTTTCATCCGGAGCACCCACATCTTTTATCCTCAATTAGGATTTATCTTTGGCAGAAAGCGTTTTCCATTTACACTAGTTTTCCCGCATTTCCCACCCCCTTTCGCCCCCGAAATGCCAGCACTAACTAGTTGAATGCAATCAACACGCTCGCAATTAAATGCGACAAAGTGCAGACTTGCATATGTTGTGCTTTTTGTTGTCGTTGTAGTTGGCGGCGGGTAACCCGTTCCGCCCACAGTTCCAGTTACCTCAACGTGTCCCGCTCCGCCCCCATTTTCCGCCTTTTCCACCTCACACAAAAGCGACAACTGTCAGCGGGTCTTTGGCACACATTTACATGCCGCCACCCCCTTTTGCACCTCCTCCTCCTTTTGGTTAGCGTGTGAATTTAATTTGTGCATAATTGCAGTTGCAGTGCCGCAGCCACAAAATGTCAATATCAAACTATAATCAACGGCGAGAAATGGTTTCTGCGGCCCAAGAGTTTTATTTTCACTTTTACAATTTGGTTTTTCCTCTTTTCTGCCAGACATATAGACAGTGAAATGGGGTTGGAAAAGCGGAGCCAATTGACCGACTGATACCAAGTGCGTAGGAAACTGCAGTTGGGATTTCGGTGAAGTAAACCAATTTAAAAATTACGATTTCAACGCTAAGTGCTGTGGAAACTAGTTTTTTATGCCTGCCCATACATATGTCTGGCTTACTTTTGCATATGTGAATAAAATTCTCATGCAAAGGAAATTGGTGGAAATGAAAGCGGAGTGAAAATTTATGGCAAAATCATTGCTCTCTTTCTCGCGGAAAGGAAGCATATTTCACTGGCAATTATAATTGAGTGCTCAATCATTTTAAAACCTGATCAACATTTATTAAGGTTGTCAAGTTTCTTTCACATTTCATATTCAATGCTTCTATTAAAGGGATAATATTAATTTACTAATTGAAGGAATAACTTGTTTTGTTTTCTTTGAAGTGTTAAATGAGCTGTAACGAAAAAATAAATAAAATGTTATGCCCTATGCAAACTCAAAGATATGTCTTCCTGCTCTTACTTATGCCTTTACTTGTTTTGTTAATTTCAGAACCATCATGCGACAGACTCAACGAAAACCACTCAGCGAAATGTCTAAGCAAAACAGATTCCAACAGCAGAAGGCCCAAACCAGCCGACCCATCAAATAGATTGCCAATAAAAAATTAAGTAAAATTACCAAAATTTACAAAACCCAGGAGAAAAGACTTTGAAGTGCAAAAAAGAAGAGAAGGCAAAAGAGAACCGTCTACAGGAACTCCCGAGAAGCGAGGGAGAAGGTCGGTTTTTTTTTTTCTCGTGGAACCAGTGATAGAAAGCCGTCAAGATTACGACGTACCACCCACCCACGCCCAAAGTCAAACAGAACCCGGCCAATACGGACGCGATGTCCGGGCCGGGGGCGTTTGACGACGAGCCGCCGCCGGAGCCGCGGGACGGATGGCTACTGGTGCGCATCCACGTGCCGGAGCTGAATGTCTACAAGTGTCTGCAGTTCCCATCGGAGCGGCTCGTCTGGGATGTCAAGCAGCAGGTGCTCGCCTCGCTGCCAAAGGTAAGTCGGTCACTGTCATTACCACTCCGATCTCGTCATTAGCTCTCGGTGTATATAGAGCATACTCGTATATATAGAGCAGTGCATGTTATCCCCAGTGCGCTAGAAAATCACTAAACAGGGGAAATAATACATCTGCAGTTTGTGCCTTTTTAATTAGAGGTATGATGTGTATCAAAAAATACAGAAAGAGATCTTATTCGCTTTTAAGATTTGGGATTTTACATACGCTATTTTGATTCGCATTTCCAATAAATATTATAAAATGCCTGCTTCATACTCTAAAATTTGTAAATATTTTATTGCGCAAAACCATAAAACCGACTTCATTGGACATTCGTAATCTCAGATGTTAGACATAGCCAAAATCCAACTCATCGTCGTAGGCGAAGAGCAGTTCTAAGTAGTAGGACCACACCACAAACCAGGCGTATAGCAAAACAACTTTGGAAAACAAAAGATTAGTAATCAAATAAACTTAAATGTCTGCTTATGATACTCACACATTGTGATGACTGTCAGCACAATTATCATCCAACTGAAGGAATAGGCAGTGAGGACCAGAATATGAACCAATATCCAAATTGGTGCGAGGCCCAAAAAGGGTAAGAAAAGCATCTCGTTGTTCTGAATGGGGTAGTAAATTATAAATTGATTAAATATAACAACTAAATTATAAAAAGAGTAGAGAGACTTTAAGGGTAACTCACATAATGCACTCCAATGCAGAGCATTGCAGAAGCAATAACTCCGAAGAAGGAGAAAACCATGGTGGCTTTTAGGGCCGCAACTGCTGGGAAAACCGAAGTCTGGTACTCATCTGGGAAGATGCACTCCATCATGAATCCAGTGCCGATGGTTATGTAGAGAAACCAGGTTAGGAAGATGCAGCCGAAGAGAAGAACGCCGAATCTCAGAGAGTAGCAATAGCAGCATTTTTTTAGGATCTGCTTAAGATATTTGCAGCGACATGCCATGATTATGTGTGTACTACTAAACTGGTCAACAAATTTTAGACAAAAGATTTCTATATTTGGTTGTCAATGTTCAATTTTCATTACTGTAAGACTTCTTGTTTCGTCGACTTCGTAAAAAGAGAACAAATTCCACCATGATGACTAGATCAGTTTGATTTTTTCCCTTTTTATTCAGTCGTCAGCTGGTCAAATCGCATCGTCAGAGTCCGCACTGTTTAGGTAATTGTAGTAGGCATGCACAATCATCAGGGAGTATATTACGCCAACTAACAGCAGATTTTCAAGACCAATAAATATATAAACAAATAGCGCAAACACCCACCTATAATGACCACTTGTACGCTCAATAAAATCGGAGGAGGTTTAGACGTAGCTAAGTTGACAACGGTCAGAATGACATACAAGCAGAGAATAATTACATACACGACTAACCAGGTTAGGACAAAGCCTCGTTTGCGCTACAAAAAACCAAAACTAACATTTAGTTTAACACACTAAACAAATCTCTTACGTTGGAGGCCGCATAGATTAGCAATATGGAGCTCAGGGTCCCAAAAATCAAGATCGGAGACATAACCACAGGACTCCAGGACTTATGGGATACCTCCTTGATAAAAACCGTGTCATTTGTATGCGTTATGAGCTCCCCGACGTGAAAAGTAATGAATATCCCGGCGATGATCATGCATCCCACATTCAGAGGCAAGAAAAAGCAACACCGCTTAAAAAACATGCCGCTCAAATCACACTACTTTGGGGTAAATACAAATTTGGATAAATTTCTACATAAATTTTGACCTAGACTCTTGAATGCAAAGATCAGTTGATCTTAGTCTTTTTTGTTGCTATAGAAAAAGGGGGGGAAAAATGATACATTTTTGGAAAAATGCAATCTAAGCCGAATGGCGAAACTAAGTGACCCACACAGAAAACCAATTACATCCGAATTGCAGAGCAATTTCTCAGCAGTTGTTGGGGATTGAAATTCAATCCATCTTAAGCCTGCCACGTGCCCTTACAACATAATGCCGGCCACGCCCCTCTGCCCTCGAATGGCTGCCAAATGCCCTCGTGAAGTTTCAATTTTTGAAGTTCAATGCAATTTTCCGGCAACTTCGGCGTCTGCAGTCGTGCACCCAGTCCGAAATCGTGACGCTGCAGATCCAAAGATATTTGACAACTGAATGGCAGTCTGTCAAGAAAGGAAAAACGAGATAGAAGGTTGCAATCAGTGGCTGTAAAAGTTTGGTAACTCTCAGTTGGAAGAACTAAGAACTTACGTGTAAGCTAAATGAGAGTTAGCAGGGATATAGAGCAATAAATATAGTACAACTAATTAAATTGTATTATTCCTTTCTTGTTTTATGTATACACACATTGTTAATTATCCCTAGAAACATAGTTATGACCCCCTCAGGTCAGAAATCGACTAAATGAAATAGGTTACTTCCCCTATTCCTTTGTGCTAATGAACGCCAAACAATAGCCAATCAATTGTACACATTTAATAACGATTTGCTGAGCAAATTGCTGTCGAAACATTGTCAAACTCAAATCCAATGCGGGGGCTGCGCCCATTTCAATATTGAAACCGCAGAATTGCAAACGGAAACCCAGTGCGAAACTGAAACCGAACTCGAAATCGCACTGCAATCGATTCGAGTTGAACTGCGCTGAACCGAACACAATGACCTCCAGCTAATTGCATGGCCCGGTCTTTCGTGCCGGTTCCGTTTTCGATTTGGTCAATTCGAAATTCAACGCGGCAAGTGACAGACATTGCCTGTTTGCCTGTTTGCCTGTTTTTGTTTTTCGGGGGCGGCTCTGCGGCAGGGGGCGTGGCCGCCCTGGTTGTGGTTCCAGCTGGAGCTTTGCAAATTATGTTGTAAATTTTGACCGGGTGTGGGAACCAAATGCTGGTTGAGTTCTTTGAACTGCATTGGGGGATATATGTTTGCACTGAAAGATTCAGCAGCGACAGATTGCATAAATTTCACTTTTCGCAAACAATTTGGTATCAATATAAATAAGAATTCTATTTTATTATTTTAAAAGCTGGTAGGTTCTTCTTGAAGTAAAATATTTGGTTCTAAACCCTACATAATTCCTGATTCCCATGAAACATTCCGCTTGTTTCTGGGTTTTAAAGAGTAGAAAGCATATCAGGTTGTCGACACATTTCCTGCTTCCATAGTCATATATCAATCAGTAAACTGGTCGCATATCTTATCGCAGCTTTTCTCTTGCGAACGAACATAGAACCCCATATAATATATACACATATAGCCCCTCATAAAGAATACGATTCATGCCTTCATCGCGTAAATATTTGCACTCCAATTGAGGTCTTTCTTTCTCGCGCATTTTTGCTGAAACCTTTTAAGAGCCTCGATAACTGAAGAACGGTTGAATAGTTGAGTAAATCCCGAAGACTAAGACAAACGTGAGTGGCCATAACTTCACATTTTATCGGTCGTCGGGCATTATCGGAACACCTGATGATGGCGGCGGGGTTCATAAATGTATTATTAGGTCTGGTGTGGAATTCGCTTTCAAAGTCCGATACCGAGTCATACCGCGCTTCAATTAAACTTCACACCAACCACCATCCATCCATCCATCAATCAGTCAGTCAGTCAGTCAATGCGTCTGTCACTCATTCACTCAGCCAATGTGTCGCTGCTCCAGTTTGTAGTTATGTGTGGGTCTCTCTGGCATCTCGACTTCCGCCTGCTAATCAAATTCAAATTGAAGCTTTTCGGATCTGTATTCGATCTTGTATTTTTAGCTAGATTTTGCTCCGATTTCTGGGTGGGCGTCACTTACCGGTTTGTGGCTAAGTTGTTTTGCTTGTAATGCTGCACGGGCTTCGCTTGGCCCGAAGTTCAGATCGGTTAATAAGCACCTTTGGCTCGTGGCGATAAGAAACCAGTAAGGAAAGCTTAGCCGCATTTGGATTTCTTGGTGGCTTAATTTTTGGTCTAAGGTGGCCAATGGAAAATACGTGTAGGGCACTTATTTAAGGGAATTACGAGAAGAAAACAAGCAATAGATATTGAAACTCATACATTCCATACTTCAATTTGCTATTTACCGATTCAGCTGAGTATGAACTCTGAAGAAAGTTTGTATTAAATTTTGTTTTCAAAACTTTGCTCTAACTAAAACTTCAACGTAGTTGGATAAAGTGCATGCGAATTCCCACCATAAATCAGCCGAAGACTTAAGTTAAATTCAAAGAGGATTTCTAATCGAATGCGCTCTTAACTTTCCAACAAGGAGAGACTGACAGACAGGATATCCCAAAGCGCAGGGGTAAAATAGAAGAAGAAAAAATTGCTTTTAGCCGAATGTGTGAGTGTGGTCAGCAGAGGCGTGTGTGTGTTTGCCAAAGAAAAATATTCCCCTAAAAGCCCTTTATTTACGACCAGCGCAACTTTAATCAATTGAACACATTTCCAGCCAAAGTAAACACAATAAATCTTGGACTAAAACTGCCGGGAAACCAACAATGGCAATTTGGTTAAGTTAATGGGTGATGCCTCAATTAAGCCAAGTTAATGTGTAGTTTCAAATGACATTCAGTGACTTGACAGCCTAAATGTCTTTTGGGGGAATTACTGTGAAAACTTTTGCCCTGCCTCGAAAATTTTGAAAATGTAGACATTTTGTCGAGCAGTACTTGTATGTATTATATATGTATGTGTACGAACCCCTTGTACCTACTTCTCCGCTCATCCAATCTCTTGGCGCTCGTTAGATTTAATGACGCCGCATAGTTTGCGCACGCACGACATCATTTCAGCGACTTTTGTCCCACTCCCGAGCCCTTTCCCCACTGCTCCTGCCTCCTTCTGGCATTCGGCTTAAGTGGCATAGAGACCCAGTTGCAGGACCCATCTGTGTCTATATCTGTGGGGCCTCCGCTTCTCCATTGAACCGTTAATTTGGGTGAGAACTTTACTTGGCCCCCGCCTTCGCCGTCGCATTATTCATTCCGGCCGCCTAGCAAAACGCCAGAATGTCACATACTTTTGTGGATAATTTCGCTCCCTCCGGAGGGAAGGGGCATCCTGCCGAGCTGAAGCCATTGTTCGCAGCAATAAAGATGCTGCCGATAGAGAGCTCCCTGCACTCGATTGGGTAGTCGGGTAGTCCTCGCCTGAGATTGAATTTTCTAGTAGGGGAAAAAAGGCGCAGGCGAAAGGAGCTGGGAACAATGAAGTGGTAAAGCTTTATAACCATTTGATGGCCCAGGGAACAATGTGTGGCATGCTTAAAGCATCCAAAGGTCACGGCATGTATAGTATATTACGCATAAATATTCCAGCATCCCACTCGCTCATGCTTTAATTCGCCACAAGAAAAAATTCACAACATTCAGCCATCATAAACTTAAATTAAATGAAATTCATAAAAAAGAGTTTTATGACATTTGCCTTGCTCGCTCGGGCTTACATTGCGTATGCGTGATATGTAAAACATATATGGGCTAAACATGTAAATGCCATCCATATATAAGTACGTGTGTATATACAAAAGTAAATTTACATGCATAAAACGAGAACATTGCTATGCGGCATGACAGCCACTACAACATCCACCATCGCCACGAACAAGACTCCTCGTTATTAATTAAAATGTTTTGTTTTCATTAATTTCTGTACTTTACCTGGCATTTTTTGTTTAATTAAATACCAAACAAATTAAAAATGAAAACTTTCAACTAAATAAACAAACGCTGACAACGTTGGATGAACACAACAAAATGTTAAATGGAAATGCCGTGACGCCACCCACGCTGCGTATACGCAATCTGACCTGCTGCACCGCGATGGAATCGATGTACAAATAAATGCTGATTGAATTTACATGCCGCAATATTTGACTCGCCTCTGAACCGATATGTTTTCCGCCCAACGATGATCTCGTCTTCTGGCAATTGCTGCAAATAATTGGCTCAGGTTGCCTTTTGGTTTAAGGTTGGTGGCTGGCTATAATACACCCATTAATACATCCACATATGCAAAGATAATACCATGAATTATGCATTTTCGCAGCACTTGAGGGAATGTTTAATTGGTTGGAAGGACTGAAATTAAAGTATCAATTGGTTACCGGGAAAATTAACCTTTAATCAGGGTGCAGAAATTTAATTGCTTAAAAACATGGAATGTAAAATATAGAAACAGATACGATTTAGTCGCTTTTTTCAGTTAAATACAATTTATTTTAAATTTTTTTGGTAGGGTATCAAACTTGTTGTAGGACATTCTCTTTTCCTGCTGCAATAAATATTTATTAATTTTTAAGTTTAAGTTTAATTTTAATTGACACGAAACCCGCAGCGACAGTCGCTCGAACACCTACGCAAACATTCGGCTGCAAGTTGCAACACTCGTTTTTCGCTGTTTTCCCCCCAGAGAGACAACGAGGCAACTTCGGTTCCAGCTACGAAATGTGTCAAGTACAGCAAACAGTTACAGATTTATGGCTAGGAGTCGGAGGACCGACCCCTCTAACGCCTCGAAACCCCAGCACACGCGACCAGGAACGGTTTTTCCATATACCACCGATCCCCTTTCGACTGACAACTCCTCCCTTGTAATTCAATTAAAATGCAGAAAAAGGAAAAAGCAAAAAAAAAGGCGCTTCAGGCACTCGCAAATGGAGCAAGAAAAAAGATAATAAATAGGGATGGGGAGGGGGAAGGGGGAGAGCTGCCTCAAATGGAAACATATCCCCATGACCACTTTGAGTGGTTTCTCTTTTGCCTGCGGACAGTTCTCGATAACATTATCGGGGGCAGACTGTGACCACA